GCATATCATTAAAGGGTTGCATTTGTTAAGCACGTCGTTATATTTTTAACTACCTTAGTAGCCTGATTTACGAGTGATTTATTTTTTAATATTACTGTGTTGCTTGAAGGTTCTAGATGAAGGGAAGTAGTAATAGTGTTATTAGTTATCTATCGCATAATTTTTTTTGTATTTCGTTGTTGATAAGATTATAATTAATAGCCACGACAGCCATAAATCCCGGTAAGCCAGGAACCGACTTAACAACAACAATCAAAACATAAAAGTAGGTTAGGGTAATACATTCGGGTGTTAAGATTGGTTATGAAATTAAACTGTCAGAACCTCTAAGTTTATTAAGGGTTAATTCATTGAACCGAACGCGAACCATTTTTTGAGTTGTTGCCGGGTCGGTTTTTCGCATTTTAAAATAAAAGCTGATTGGTTTGTGTTCGTTACAGGCGTAAACAGAGGCTTTGCCGGTTCGAAAACGCGGTTTGAGCCCTGTGTGGTTACAACATATAGAGCCTTAAATAAATAATTAACTATGAATTAAATCTTGTTGACTGAATCGTCCAAGGCAAAAGAGCAAATCATGCAGCTGCATGCTTTGTAAACCAACGACTAACCAGAAGGGAACAAAGATTTCGTAGAGGTTATTAACGAGATCAGACCGGACTGTATAGTGCTTAAATTCTGGTTTAAAACATGGCTTACTAATTATTTTTTTTCTATCCAACTGATTAAAATAGTGGAGCTCGTCTTTTAAACGTCTCAGAAAGCTTGACACGTCTTAAACGTCTCTAAGCTTGACACATAAAGTTTGTATTGATATTTTGTCAAATCTTTCGTAAACATTGTAGATCTCGTTCCCTTAAGAGTCATTTTCAGATTTCTCCTGTAAAAAATATCATGATATTGTTGGGCATTTCACCATGAAAAGACCTAAGCTAAATAATGTTTACAAATCGTTTAACTCTGTTACGAAATTTCAGTTTCTCTAAAGAAAGTGTTTTGTGCGCTTCGCTCAACATATGGTGAAGATAATCGGCCTACTGAGTGTACTCATCTTGACATCCAGCATTCATTAGTGGATAATAATCGACCGAATGGACCACGTCCAGCACGTAGACGAAGACCGTGGAGAGTCGATTCGGCGCATTTTGCCTCGAAATCTTAAATTGCAAGCGTACAAAATACAGCTTATGCAAAAACTGAAGCCGCTCGACCTTCACAAGCAACATCGCTTCGCTATATGGGCTCTTGCAATGTTCTAAGAAGATCCGATGAGGCCCATTTCTGTCTTAATGGGTGGGTAATAAAACAAAATAGCATTTCATTAAGAAAAAAAGATGGTTTCGTGTGGTTTGTGGGGCGATGGAATCAGCGGTTCATATTTCTTCCAAAACAAAAAATGCCAGTGAGAAGGTAACCGTCAATGGCGACGATTATAGCGCCATTATAGCCGCCTATTTGATGCCTGAAATTGAAATTCATTATTTCGGTGACATTTGGTTTCAACAAGCTGGCGCCACTTCCTACATATCTCATCAATCCATAGATTTATTAAGAGAACACTTCGGTAAGCAGATAATGTCAAGTTTTAAGTCGGAAGATTGGCCACCAAGATCGTGTGATATCACACCGTTAAACATTTTCCTGTGGGAATATGTAAAGTCTAAAGTCTATGCGGACAATCCCGCTTCGGTTCAGGTTTTGGAGCAAAACATCACGCGTGTCATTCGCCAGTTACCAGTCGAAATGTTCGAACAAGATAACGAAGAGATAATCTTCAATAAATAAGAAAATAAATGCCAAAGAATGCTCTTACGAATGATAATAAACATATTCCATTAAATTTGAATTTTCTTTATAAAGTAGAGAACTTCGAAATGGATCACCCTATACATACATGTATAAATTGAACATTTTTGACAAAGGTCGGTTTTCAGCTATCCTAACATGATCAGACCCGTCGACTTTAAGGTGAGATATTTTATATCTTTCAGCCTAATTAGCCGATTTCAACCAAAACTTGATACATAGCTGATCCGTGATGAGTCCTTAGCACAGCTCGAAATCTAATAAAATCATACCTCAACGGCATCTTTTTCTCATATATACCATTTATAATCCCACGGCTATAATGAACATAGACAACTCAAGCATCAATAAAAATACCGATAAAACCTCAGCATATATAATAAACGTGATGGTTGGCAACTCTATATCGGAAATTCCGGCGAGTGCATTGATATATGTATATATATATAACGTATAGTTTTAGGCTCAGTTTGACTAAAAAGTTGATATTGTGATGAACATGGATGACAGAACAAAATCGAATCGACAATAAATTAGCAGAATCTACTAGTTAGCCAATTTGTAGTTGCCAAAATGTTCTAAAAGCGATGTTGTGTACCAAACGCAGTTCTAGTTAGAGTGGTGTCGTGTTAAGAGCAATTGAGATATAAGCAAGAAGTTGTAAGCTCGGATAATAAGTAGTAAAGCGTTAAGTTGTTGGAATTAGAAATAAAGATAAGTGTATAGCCATCAAATTGGGAGTTTTATTGAATAACCCAGTGATCGAGCTCAAGAGTGGCTTGTAGGTAGACAATTTATGGAGTAAATCCGCTCCAAGATTTTCAGGCGATAGCTGTCAGTTTTAATTGAAACCTGTGGCTCAATTACTTAAGGCTATAAGTCATTTCAATTCTGTCTGCAGCAATTTGCATTGTTTTTTATGTTTCTACTGCTAGAGTAAAGCAGTTTGGATATTATTTTTCAGTATCGATTGAATAGCTATTAAAGTGGCAGAATACTAATTGATTAACTTTATTAGTAACTTCTTCTTAGAATAGGAATAGAGTCATTATTATCTAACCGTTTCTCAACTGTTCTTAATTACTTGCTTCACATGGCAGCTGAAGGTATCACAAGGGACGAAAGTGTGGTGGCTATAACTTTAATTTTACTATCCCTTATACACCATAATCAAATTATTTCCCTCCTTAACGTTTTACAAACCATGATCCTTTGCAATGCTTTTAAATATTCGGTAAGATTACTCCTTTCCTAAAAATCTGTATTGAAATCAAAAGATGAAATATCAGTCATTGTCATTTCGACTAACCTTCAAAATCGATATGCTGACAATAAATATAATATTAATAGTAAAAAATTTACAAAAACATTTCCATTCATAAACGCAAGCGTATCACCGTGCGTACATAAAAGAGGAAAATAAATAAACATGCGAAAGTTTAACAACCGTACGTGATATATATGACGAGAAAATTTGAGACGATAGATAAAGATTTTCTATACAGAAACACGCACAATTGGCAACACGATAACTATGTCGCGCATTAATTCCATATGTGCTAATAGTTTATTTATTGCACTTAATTTAAATAAATATACGCACATTAGAATTTTCATTGACACTGCGTGCGGTGTTAAGGCGCTTGATTTCGAACTTATAGGCGGAAGCGAAATAAGAATTGAATTTTAGAGATGTTATGATTAAGTTAACTGAAAGTTACACGAGATATAAAGTGAAATTGTAGAAACAGAGAATAAACATATTGAGACATATTGAAAATTGATGTACATTTATGCGTATTTGAAAGCAAAATTTAAAATTGAAGGCAAAACGAATAATAAAAGATTTGTCAATCAGTGAATCGGTTTATTCATGATTTGATGCTGGAAATTTGGGTGATACATTTTATAACCGAGAACCTACCGCACTGCACTTCCAAAAATCAAAATGCGTAAAATGCAAAAACGCAAAACCAAAACGTGCAAAAATGCGGTATACAAAACAAAAATGCGTGGCAGTAAATAACCGCAGGCGGTGGCAAAAATGCGGCAAAAAT